AATTATTTACTAAAAAAAAAAGAATTACAATAATCTTGAAACAGTTGCATTTGCCAGCTATTTTTTATCCCAGGGCATGACGTACCGTTTTTTTTAATGAATGTTAACTTGTGTATCTTTATTTATTGACGAACGTCTAGTTTAAGAGATTTATGTCAAACAAATTTCAATTAATTTTTATTCTAGTTAATAAGTTATCAAATATATCAAAGATGCTTGGTAAATTTATTCAATTGTTATTTTTCAAAATCTTTTTATTTACACATTTGCAAAGTGCGCGCAAATTAATGATGAAAACACAATAAAAAAAACTTTTAAAAGTGTTTTTAATATGCAAACAAACATTATTTCACTTTATGGAAAATAAGAAAATTAAAAAAAAAAAGAGCATGCACAATTTTATTTATAATGAAATCATTTGTTTTAAACTTTTAATGTAATTGCTAAAAACAGAAAAGAAACCAAGCTTAAACATTATCATCGCTTTCTTCGATAAAAAAAAACAATCGAATTGTTTAAGGACGGTTTCATTTGAAGTTTTTGCAAAAGCATTTATGTAAAATTATGGATACTTTAGTGAGCGCATGCAAAAACCATGCTAAAACATACTTACTTTTTTCTTTTTATTATACTTAAAAGTGATGCTATTGAAAAAAGTAATTATGTTTTGGCATTTTTTAAAAAAAGTCTCTGTAATTAATTGTTTTTTATTTTAAATATGTGTTTTTTGTAATAAATAAAAAACTATTGCTCGCAAAATTATTGTTTGATGTAATTTATGAACAACTCCTTCTTTCTTTTTAAATAGAAGACTGTTATCTTTACATTTATAATGAGAAACTTTTATCATCATCCCTTAGAAAGTCTGAAGTATTTTTAAGTTTTTTTGTTCTGGTTATTAGACCTAATCAACGTTTATAAATGGTGCAAAAATAACAATAGTGATAAAAGTCTATTTGAAATAGATCAATTTATTACTCGTGTTCTTGTATATGAACTAAAAAAACAATCTTAACAATTAAATTTAGTTATGAACTTTTTTTCTCTATGAATAATAAATAAATGGAACTCTCTTCCTAATGACATTGTATCTCCGTTATCTCTAAAAACGTTTAAGCTGCTTCTAGATAATCATCTAAATCTAAATGGCTTCTGTATGACTAATCCACATTTTACTTTCTATTAGTTATGCAAACTCTGTAATTGTCAAGTATAATATAACTAGGTTGACAGACAGTTTATGCCTACACAATTTATTATAAAACCTTAATGTTAAAAATATATATATATATATATATATATATATATATATATATATATATATATATATATATATATAGCATTAATTACCTTAATACAGCATTCATTAACTCAATACAACATTCATTAACTTAATACAGCATTCATTACCTTAAAAGATCATAAGGATAATTTCCCCAACAATACACAGTGCCGATTAATAAATCCAGCTAAACCAGTACTCGGAAAAGTAAGTAAAATTTTGTTAGATGATATCAATAGTAAAGTTAGGAATGCTACCCACGTACACCAATGGCACAGCACAAATGACGTCATAAAATGGTTCAAATCCATACCCGTAAAAAATAAATAAACTTTCATTCAATACGATATTGACGAGTTTTACCCTTCAATTTCGAAACAACTTCTTCAAGATTCTATAAACCATGCAAAACAGTTCATCAAAATTCCTGATAAATCACTGAAAATTATTTACCACACCAGGAAATCTTTACTTTTTTCAGGAAATAATATGTGAATTAAAAAGTTGACGGACCCTAATTTCGATGTCACCATGGGTAGTTTTGACGGAGCCAAATTATGCGAACTAGTTGGCCTCTATATCTTATACACTATTGCCAAAGAATATGGTCCTTATACTACCGGTCTATATAGAGATGATGGTCTTTGCTGCTTCTATAATATCAGTGGTCCTCAATCGGAAAAAATAAAGAAAAATCTAAAAAAAATTTTTAAAGACAATTTTAATCTTAACATCACTATCAAACCAAATTTAAAAACCGTAAATTTTTTTGATATCACATTTAACCTTTCTGAGAACTCTTTTAAACCTTATAGAAAACCAGGAGATAATTCTTTATATATTAACATCAATTCCAATCATCCACCAAGCATTATTAAATCGATACCAAAAATGATCTCTAACCGCATCAGTAATATATCTTCAAGCAAAGAAGCTTTTGATAGAGCCGCACCATTTTATAATAATGCTCTCAATTCTTGTGGATTCAAAGATAAGATCAATTTCACTCCAAATATCTAGAAATATAATAAAAAATCTCGAAAAAGAAACATTATCTGGTTTAACCCACCTTATTCACTCAACGTCAGAACAAACTTAGCCAAAACATTTTTGAGTACAATTGATGTTTCCCTAAAGGCCACAATTTTCACAAACTTTTTAATCGAAACAACTTAAAGGTTAGTTATAGCTGCCTTCCAAACATCAAGAGTATTGTTACTTCTCATAATAAAAAGATATTATTTCATTCTCATGATTATACAGGTAATATAAACATAAAAACTCCTTTGTTTATGAAAGTAAGGCCAACTTCACTGAACTTTCGAAATTTGTGTGGGAATGCAAAAATAAAGGTATAGAACCTATATTAAAATGGAATATCCTCGATCAAGCGGAGCCATTCAAACCTGGTGGTAAATTTTGCAATTTATGCTTGACAGAAAAATACCACATTATTACGTCGCCATTGAATTTGCTTAACAAACGAACTGAGCTTGCGTCAAAATGCCGCCATGAAAATAAATTTCTACTAAAAAACTTTAATGTCATCAAAGCGGACACTCCATAGCATTTTTTGTATATAATTTTTGTCATTACTTTTTATTGTTGTTACATCTGATGATCGCTATTGCGTGAAACTTTTAGTTATGTAATTGAAATATATCTTAATAATTATTTAGTTTTCACTATATTATTTGCTCTACTAATTATATAAAACGCTGTATTGAGCACTCTTACTGGAAATATTAACATAATTTCTACAATATATATATATATATATATATATATATATATATATATATATATATATATATATATATATATATATATATATATATATATATATATATTGTAGAAATTATGTTAATAATTATATATATATATATATATATATATATATATATATATATATATATATATATATATATATTTATATGAAATCTTTTTTAAATTTTTGATAGATGAGCTTCTTTAGTTTTATTTATGATATGTTCCACTTTTCTATTGCATTTTTCTTGTCACATAATTTCTGATCATCCATATCCATATTTATTTAAATCAATTTACACTGGGGCAATTATGGCGAGTTGTAAAATCACTAATATATAATAATTTAGTATAAATGCTTCAGTATAAATAATTTAACACTATAGTTAAAACATTATATTAAACTTGTATAAATTTGTATATTAAATGTTATAAACATTTATTTAAAAAGTATGATGCTGTACCAATCCTACTAGTCCTTTTTTTGAGCACTCAGCAGAGGTGTTGATTGCCAGAAAATGAAATTTAGTTTAACATGTTTGGATATGTTGAATATTTCCTTTTTTTATTTTATTATTATTATATGTTAAATATTTCCTTTTTCCTGATTATTTCAAACAAATTATTGCATTTAGTAGCTGAGTCATTAAAGGGATACCCAATATGGCTCAACATTAGAATTAGAAAAAGTTAGAATATAGTTCTTTAACAATAATTTTACTTCTAACATACACAGCTTTTCTTGTAAGAGGGGAGGAGGGAAGTGTGGGAATATTTGAAGTTTTTTTTTTGGGGTGAATTAATCTTTTCATATCATTGATAAAAATATCAAATTAATATCCCTTTTGATAACAGATTGTATTAATTTTTGATACAATAATGTAAACTATTTATTTAAAAAACATTTTTTCTTAACACAATGCTGTTGAATAATCTCAAAGATACCGAATTTCAGCTGAATTTTCTATTGTTATCAAAACACAGAGAATTGTAATTTTAGAAAAAATGTGTAACTTATATGGAATATTAAATTAATAAAAACAAAAAAACAAACTAAAACTTTCATTACCAATTTCATCATCAGAATGCCATCTGCCAGATAAAACAATTGTGGCTAAATTTGGGGAAAATAGAATATAAAAAAAACCAAAATAATTAGTTTCATCCACCTTTTTCCGCTAAAAGCTAATTGATAAATGATAAAGTATGTCATTCTTATTAACCAGTAAAAAAATTGTGATCACAATGGACTGCCAGAGTGGGTTCTTTCGAGTCCTCAATAAAAAGGAGGGGGGGCGTTTATTAATTTTTCGCAAAATTTTCCCACCTACCCCATGCTTATTAAGACCACCCTATTTATTAATTTACACTTATTATCAACAAATACCTTATACCTCAAAACTAAAAATTAGAAAATAATTCTTTCAGTCACTGATACAAACAAAAAATTTCAGTGTAAACAAGCTTTAAAAATTGCCAAACTAATAAATCTTGATTTGTCAAAAATGACCTTTTGGTTTATTTCTCACCAAAGAATAAAACTTCTATCAGCATATTAAAACCTATGGAAATAATGATAAAACAGCTGTTAGAAAATGCGCATTTGACCGCAAGCCATGCTTGAATTAAATAGTTTTAAGTGTGTTTTAAAAAATACTAGTATGAATATATATTAACTGAACTTTTTTACAAAAAATACTTATATTGTAACATAAAAAATTTATTTGTTGGCATATTTTTTTTTTAAGATACTGAACAATCATATTTTTTTACATGTGAACAAAACCATATCTAATGATTTTAATTTTTAAATATAATAAATAAATGAAGTAAGTCATCTTCCTAATGTATGTTAATTGATTTTTGTAACCGCTTTAGTTTATGTGTATAAACTTCAATGGTCAACATTTATTACCAATTATAACAAAGCATGTTTTTTCAATTTTTTTAGGTCAGCATTTTTAGTAGGAATAAATGTTTCTTATTGGCTAGATGATGTTCTGTGTTGGGGAAGTGAATCAGATTTGTTACATTGCTGGCATAGGGGAATAGGTTCACATAACTGTAATGATTTAAAAGAGATTGCTGGTGTTATTTGTTCTACTGTTATTGAAAATGACAAAGTTAAACCTTCAGAAAATAAGGTAATTAAATAGAAAAATAGAGATGTAAAATGTGTGCTTTTATGTTTTTACTTTAATTATTTTGTTTAATTTTTACATGAAACATTTTTTTTTAATCATTTCATTTAGAATTTATTCAAAACAATCTTTTTTACTGTTTTTATTTTAAATTAAAACAGCAAATAAGTATGAATTTTTAAATCAAGCATCCATTCATGCATAGGGTTTTTCGGTTCTGGGTACCTGGACTTGGACTCGGGGAGTCTGTGGCTATATACCAGGACCCGATACCCGGTCTAAGACTCGGCAAGTCTTAGACCGGGTATCGGTCTAAGATTTTTTTCAATCGGAGGGAACACAAAAAATCCAATCATTCTATTGTTAAAGTTGCGAAGAAAAAAGTCGTATTAGACCCAGACCCGAACCCAATAAATATCCATAGGCTTGACTCGAACTCGTCGGGTCCAAAAAGGCCCGGTTTTCCCAAACCCTATTCATGCACTGGCATTGAATTTTAAACAGAGAAAACTGATTTCATATATATATACCCTTGTGCCCTACAATTGCTTGGGCCCTAAAATGGGTTCAAAAATGTTTTTTGTTTTTGGGTTTTTAGTGAGTTACTAAAATAAACTACTTTCATGATTATAATGATTAATAAACAACAAATAGATATATCAGGGCTTGTGACGAATAAAATCGTCAAGCGTGTTATATCGCGCTCGCAAAATTAAAATATGTTTTCATCAAGCGTGATTATGTGCGCTCGAGATAACGTTGACGAGCGCGATCATGAAAATTGCTGAAAATCTTTTTTTATTTGTTACATCATTCTTTCGTCGACAAATGTTATAATTAGTATCACACTCATCAATTAACACTCTTGTATATTGTCAGATTGGGATTTTTTTTAAACTATTTATGTTATAAAAAATATATATCAAACAAAAACGCAACTTCTAGTTGATTTAGTATTGAAGTATAATTTAGTGACTTTTTTATAATTTAGTGCCTTTTTTTGTTTCGTTGTTTTGATATATGTATTTAAAAATAGTTTTTATATTTCTTGATATTTTTTATTCAAATTAATTCATTTCTAAAATTTCTTTTTTAAATTACGATTTTTTTATCTTAAAAAAATAACACAAGAAAGTTTGAAAATCTTTTTTTTTTTAAACTATTTATTATAGGTTAAATAACAGATTTTCCCCTCAACTGTTGTCAATGGTGTTTCCTCTTCTACATTTTCGAAACTGAATGCAGCTAATTCGTCACTCATATCTGGTAACTTCAGTTCTAAAGTCTATTACCTTTTGAACTTTCCATTTAATAAATGTTGACAACATTACTTTGTTTCCTTTTGGAATGTCATTTATTGCGGACATTCTAAACAACAGAATCGTTTTAAATTTGAGTTAAAATAAATAATAGTTAATAAAAAACTTATACTATAAACAAAAGCTAATTTAAAAAATTACTGAATCATTATTAATTTTTTTTATTATGAACGATGTATGGAATATTATAAACAATAAATCAAATAAATCTTACTTGATGTATTCACAAGATTAAAAATATTCTGCAGTTTCAATTTTCTTATAATTATTTACTAATTTTTTATTACTTTATTTGTGCATTTTTGTATTTGCATTGAATTTCTGCATGCACATTCCATCAATGAAATTAGTGCCTATTAACGACTTCAAACTGCTCATTCATTAGGTTAGTGCAAAAAAGAACGACGTAGTGCTTTTTTTATTTTATATTATATTAGTGCTTCGATAATATAAAATCTTTATTAAAAAATCTTTTTTTCATATTTTATGAAATAAAAAAAAAGTTTTATTTGTTTTGCCCCGAACTCTTGTATGAGCGTTATTTTATACGCTCGTTATAAGCTGAACAAGCATTGTTTATCGCGCCTGGAACGTTTCAAAATACCATTTACGGGCGCGTTTCACGAGCAGGGCGCAATCGCGCTCGATTCATCACAAGCCCTGATATATGTGTATACATATATGTGTATACAATAACATACATATATGTGTATACAATAAAAGTACTCTTTATATGCAGGCTTTTCACACTTTATATGACCACACAAGTTGCATTTTGCTATGACGGTTTGACCGCGGCTAATTCAAAAAACATTTTAGAAATGCGCTAAATAAAAAATATTCTAAAAAAGTGAAATTAATTACATCAAAACTTCTTAACAAATGTTTTTATATTAGCGAAATGATTTTAAATAAAGTAACAATTTACTGAAAAAAAGTTTTGTTTTTTAAATATAATTGACAGTTGTATATATTTTTTTAATTTAAAACATATAAATTGTTCAAGTGTTTATTTCTAAAATAAATCTTATTAAAAAATAAAAAATTGTTCTGATTTTATAAACAATGACATTCTACGACTGCGAAAGTCTCTTTAACATATTTAAATATAAGAATGATTAAAGTTAATGCATTTAAAAAGATAAACAAAATTTCGTTAAAAAAAAAAAGTTTTAGAAAACTGTTACAATTTAATAAGTTTGATCTTAAATGCTTTTATATTTTTGAAACGCTTTTAATGAAGTAAAAAAAAAAAACACTTCAAATTAATTTAAAAAAAAGTATTAATAAAATATTTTTTTATTTTATTTATATAACTATGTATTTTTTATGAGAAATATTTAACTTTTGAACATATTAAATAAATAAAAAATATATACAAATGTTGAAACAAAGATTAAAAAGATTTTTTAATGCGTAAATTAAATAGACTAAGCATTTTAGTTTGATGAGTTTTGTTTTAGTTGCGTTATATATATATATATATATATATATATATATATATATATATATATATATATATATATATATATATATATATACATATATATATATATATATATATATATATATATATATATATATATTTTTGTGTTTTTGCTTTAACTAAGTACTTTTTTTATTTTCTCTTTCGTTATTATTATTATTTTTTTTAAACTTTTTTTTCAGATAAATTTAGGTAAGTTTTTGTAGCGCGTTTTTAAATTTAAAAAATATGACGTGGTCAAATCGTTAAAACATTTTTTTGTGTGTGGTCATATAAAGACGTGAAATCGTACGTCTTCCTGTGAAAGCCTGATATGGTATTTAAATTCAAAGTATAACAATAAGTCAATAACACCACAAAACAATTAATACTTATTAAATCCAAATAAATTTCGGATATATATTACTTAATTAATCTTAAAATCTGCATATTAATGTTATGTTGGCATTTACAAATACTAAATTATTAAAGCTATGTATATTGTCAAAAGTTGTATTTAGGTGTTATGCTTATCTAAAAGTACTAAACTATTAAAGTTATATTATTAAATTTTTTATAAGTTAAGCAGGTCACAAAGTAAGAACTTTAGCCTTATGTTTTTCCACCTGGACAAAGAATAATAAGTGATTGATTTATTATTTAGCAAGACAACAATCTTAAAAACATACCAAAGTTGTGCATAAGCTATATTATGCAAAGATTGTGCATAAACTATTAACATTTATTGATCTCAGTTGATGAGTTGTTATCAAATTGGGTTGTTTTAAGACAAACTAGACAGAAATGTCTGACAAATGTAACCTTACAATAAAATGAAATTTTACTATTTACTAAATAGTGCTAGAGTAATATTTTGCCACTTAAATTTATTAGATTTTGGTGGAAAAAGTATTTCTTCCTCTATTTCAGTATGATTTTGTCAACAAAATTTAATAAATGGCTGAGTATGCAAAGATTAACTTCGACACGTTTTTATATTAGCGAAACGCTTTTAAAAAAAGTAGGTAATGATTTTAATTAAAGTATCATTTAAAGCTGTATAAATTAATTTTATTTTAATATTAATCAAATAAGATTTTTTTAAAAGTAAAATAAAAAAAAGTAATAATTTTTTTTTTTTTCATTATAAATATATACATCATTTATATATATCATATAAACGATGACTTTGAACAGCGATAATTTTAAAGCAATGACTTTAAATAACGATCTCTTATAAACTTTATATAAGAATCATTAAAGTTAATTTACTCGAAAAGTAGTAAGATTTTGTTGAAGAAAAGAAGACTAACTTTTTTGAAAGCCGTTTGAATTTAATAACTTTGATTTTTATTAATGTTTTTATATTATTGAAATGCATTTAAATATATAATAAAAATAAATAAAGTAACAAATCACTGCTTATGATTTTTCATAAAAATATTAATGAATAATATATATAATAATTATATTTATATAAGTATGTATTTTATAATTGTATGTATTTTATAAATGTTTTTGAATAAAATAAAAAAATTATATCAACTTTTTAAATAAATGATTAAATTATTTTTTCTTCTGTTAACCTTACTGCAAAGAATTGTTAAGAATCTTTTTTTAACTTTTAAATGCATTTGTAAAACAATTTTAAGCGCAGTTATTAAACAATCATTAGAAGTAAATTTTTATTTTATTTAAAAAGGGTTTTGCATAATATAAAAACATTTGTACAGATTAATGATTCAGAGTATTGCTACATTGACTATCTTATAGCCTGCTGCTACAAGGGAGTGTTGCTACATTGACTATTTTATAGCCTGCTGCTACAAAGGAGTGCTGCTACACCGGCTATCTTATAGCCGATCTTATAGCTCCATAAGGGAGTGCCTCTACATCGACTGTGGGTTTAGTTTGGGTAAGCAACCTATCTTTTAAGAAAGAAAAAATATTTTTTTAAGTTTTTATACCTTTTCTAGTTTATTAGTGCTCACTTTAATAATAAAGTTTATGGAAGAAACTTTTCGACTACCATTCAAGACTAAATGCACCAGATCTACTTGTTAAAAATATGTAAAACTTTTATAGTTTTTATAAGTTTTATTTTCAGATCTTATTGTTGTTGGGTATTATCCTATGTTTTGCAAAGACTTCATTTCTGGTCTTAGCATACATTAACTTATATATTGATTTAATTATTTATGTGAAAACAATCTTTTGAC